AAAACTCGTGTCAGATCGGGTCGGGTCGAGTCGTGTTAACATGTGTAATAATGTGTCATGGTTACATTATAAGGTTATTCGTGTCGTGTCGTGTCAACCCGTAAAAAGAGCGGGTCGTGTTCGGGTTGAGAATTTTGACGCGAATAATTAATCGGGTCGTGTTCGGGTTGAAGTTTTTCGTGTCGTGTGAAATTCGGGTCGGGTCGGGTCGGGTTGACACGAATTGCCACCCCTACTTGTATCCCACAAACAACTCAAACATATCTTAAGAAGTAAAAATAGCTTTTATGATTAAAAATTGCTTTTCAAAATAATTGAGCAAAAACAAACTTCCACTAGACTCATTTGAGGGTAGATACAAAAGTTTTGTTACAATATATATATATATATATTTCATTTAGTTTAAACTCTTGATGCTCAGGGAAAACATTTCAACCTTTATTTTGTAAGAAGAATTCTGTTCAAAATAATTTAAATACAAGATAGACTCTCTATATATACAACAACTATAATAAAAAAGGCAGCTAAGAAAGAAACTGCAAAACTAAATAACCAACTTAGATAATAACTTTAACGTCTCTAGCTACACTCCATTATTTTGTTGTGATTGATTGGCCACATAAAACTGTTATCTGACGTGGAATAGGGAACGCTACTGTAATAGAAGCACGTGAGCTTGGTGCACTTTGTGATTTATCCGTGGAGGAGATAATAGGTCTCGTTATGTGATTAGTTTGATGGCAATGTGGACATAGCTTGCCAGAACCCCTTCAATTGTATCCACGGCCTCCACGACATCTGAAAGTGCGACCACCACGTGCATTTTGATAGCTGCCTCTTTGAAAATTTCCTTGGTCACTGACTGATGTTAAGGCATGAGAATTATTTGAAAGATTATGATGATATTCTGAGTGGAACTAGTGTTCCTACTGAGTCACTAATGAAAAAGCCTTCACAACAATAGGCATTGGCTCCATCATCATGATTTGTGATTGGAATCCTATTCCATCGCATAACGGAATGTTATCGCAAAACCCGTCGCAGTTGGCGATGGAAAAGGATTCCATCACAAAAAATCAGCCATTTTTAAATTTTCAAAGTTGTAAAAGGCTAAATTTTGCTGCATACTGGAAGGCCATCGCAAAACCCGTCGCAGTTTGCGAGGGCTTTTGCGATGACTTTCGGTTGTGAAGTAAAAATTCGCGTTAATGCATACCTGAGTTCTTCTTCCTTAGTTTGTGACAGAAGTATCCGTCGTAACATATGCCGTCACAATAAGCCGTCGCAATTTATTTATAATTGCGACGGAATAATTGACCATCCCTATTTGTGATGGTTTTTGTAATGAAAATGCGAGGATATTTGCAACTATTCTTTCGGGACGGTAATTCAGCTCTATTTCCGGCGCAATATGAGTTCCGTCGTAAAGTCTGTTACAATTTGCGACGGATAATTTACCATCCCAATTCCCGTCACCAATTGCGATGGAATATTTTCCATCGCAAATTTCCATCGCTGTTTATGAATTTTCTAGTAGTGAATCTTATCATGTGATCTTGCTCATGATACTACCGCATCTGAGGTATTGCACCACACTCACAAGGAACTATCGAAGATGGGAAATGTGTCAAGTTGATGGATTATCGTTTGGGTGGAGAAAAAGTGAATGAGATGAGATGGATTAGTGAGGAATGCAGGTAATTGTTCTTGATTACCCATGAGCAAGGAATGAAAAATATTGAATCTTGAAGTGGATATATATCAGAGCTATCATATCTCTGATACCATTTTGATGTTCAGAGAAAACATTTCAATCTTTATTTTGTAAGAAGAATTTTGTTCAGAATAATTTAAATACAAGAGAGATTCTTTATATATACAACAACTATAATCAAGAAGGCTAATAGAGAAACTGCAAAACTAAATAACCAACTTAGATAACAACTCTAACGTCTCTAATACACTCCATTATTCTATTGTAATTGGTTGTCCGCATAAAATTGTTATCTGATGTGTATAGAAGAATGTGAGCTTGGTGCAATTTATGATTTATCTAGGCTTGCTTCGTTTGGGCTTCTTGTATTTGGGCTAACTTGTAATATAAACTACACATTTTGAATATGGAAAAACTTTCTTATGTCATATGACATAATAAGTTTTTTCTCTTACACACTTTGATAATTATGTCATATTTTTCTTTTCTTTTCTTTTCTTTTTTCAGGCGGTGGAGCCCACTAGTTTGTCTCTATGACATGAGATAACTATATCATTTAACATGAGATTAATAGAACCCTTTTGAATACGTACATATATTCATTAATTCCTCGAACGTAAAAACTGATGACATTCATAAAATTTAGTGTCCTGTAAGCCTTTTTTTCTGTACAGTGTCATGTTAGCTTTGAACATACTTATTTTTAGTAAAGTTAAAATATTTTTATAAATTAAATTGATTTTAAATAATCAAAAAATAGGCTAAGGAAAATAAATATTTAACAATTATTTTGTTAAACATTTAAAATTATGCATTTTATAAAATTAATACTAACATTATTATAATTACTTGGAAATTATAATTTATCCGTTGACTATATCACGTGTTAACAAAATTACACGTCAAATAATACCAAAAAAAAAATTACACGTCAAAGTTTTATATTTTCTTTTATATTCTAAGATTTTATATTTTTGGATATATCCTCTGGTTCATCGTTACCTCACTAGTTACAATGACAACAACATAAATGCAATTAATGAATACATTGTTTTCTATTTGTGACTTGGACTTACTTTCATGGATTCAGGTGGGAGGAAATATATTGATTGAGGTTTTAATTAAGGATATATTTTTGTGTATTTAATTTGAGTGCATTATGTTAATAAAATATTAACATGTTATTAATGTATTAGTAAACATGATACTTACTTAATAAAAATTAATAATGTATAGATACTTCATTTTATCTATTTTTTAAGAGTGAATTCAAATTGTTCACACAGTAACTTTATGGGTTCGTTTTTTCAACGATTAATGTAGATAAGTTATCTACATTGAGCCCAAAACGATGTCATTTTGGCGCAAAAATCAAAGTATTTTTGTAATTATAATTCATTTCATAGTTATAATAGTCATTTTCATTATAATTTTTTAATTTTTCAACCTAAAATAACATCATTTTGGGAGTGAATATAGATAATTTATCTAGGGATATAAAGTCTAAGTTTATATAAGAATATCTTTTATAAACATTTTTTTGGAATACATCCTCCCATATGTAATTTAATATTATCATATCAAATAAAACCATCTTAGGGAATTATGGACACATCAACAATAATTAGATATGAGAGGAAAAAAGTATTGACATAAAAATGATAAAAAGTTATCTGTCGATTTATTCATAAACAATTAATATTGCCTTACATATTAAAAATAAATTTTTTTATACATATTAAAAAGAAATGTTATACCAATTTAATTTTGACATATATCGTAAATTGTCGGATCGGTAAATCATTAAAAAAAATTGATTACCTCAAACACAACTAAAATAAGAAAAAATATTTGTGTTTTTATTACAGAAATTTTTTTTGTCATGTTCACATCAAAGTAAATGGATCCCGTTATAAATAGAAGAGAGAAAAAATCAATAAGATCCGCTCACTCTTATATAAATATAACAGATAAATTTTGTCTGTAACAAAAACAAAAATATTAAATCCAATATATAATCATTTTGATAGTGTATTAATGTAAAAGATACACTCTTATAAGTGGCGCCGTGCATTTTTTAAATTTTCTAACCAATCACTGTTAATGCACCGAATCCAGTCAAACCGCTAACTGAGGGCACAGATAGAATAACTACAAATTAGAACGATATTGAACTAATAAGGTAAACATCAGGAACATAGTATCACTTGATGTTTTAAAACATCACCTCATTCTCAATTTCGCTGGGTCACTAACATTGAACTTTCTGATTCCGGAAATCCTTCGGTTAAATCCATGACTCTCGGGGTTAGAGTGTTGAAATATTCAAGTGTGATGAATCCCACATTAGTTGGTAATGGGATAAGTGAAGAGTATATAAGTGGAAGGACCCATGAACCTAATGCCTTAAGGTTTTGGGTTTAGACATGGTGTCAGATCCACTTGCTACAGTTGGTGGTGTAGCCTTAGCTCATTGGGGGTGGCCTCCGCATATAGAGAGGGTCACTGTATTTTTTTTTTTTAAATAAATTACATACTAAAAGAAGTCATTTGGTCTCTAAAAAAAATTAAAAATTAAAAATTGATGCTACCTAGATTTAGAACTAGGTCTGAAATCTGAATCATTCTTCTTCTTTTCTTTCAATCTTTTCTTCTAGACCCAGATCCAGTTTTCATGATCTGGTTATCTCCTATGTCGTAGTAGTGGTTCCTTATATCATTTTCGATCTTCTCTCTCCCTCTCCTTTGCCATGTTGGTTCTTTTATTCCCAACATTGATTTATCGCGCCGTCGCCTCTCCTCCGTTGTTCTCTCTTAGGTAAGAGATCTCATTTCACATACTGTTATTGGTGTATAGGAGGACAAAGAGGGTCTGAGTTTGATGATATAACTTTCAATTAACTCTATTGAAATATGTGTTTTATACTTTAATAGTTTGATATTTTGATTAGCTCGTATAATATTGATTTAATTATGTTAAGTATATTTTGAATATTTAATGATTGGTGGTTTGATTTTTTTGAATTTTTCATATAAAATATAATTTTAATTTTTTTGATATATACAATCGGGTCAACGAAGTGACCTCTTAACCTCCCAATTGAACCCATGATCTTTGATTTGAGCCGAATTGATGACCGAGTCTATTTTTTTTAACACTGATATCACTTCAAAGTTTTCCAATTCTGCGAATACAAATGTACTCCTCTTTATCAATTCCATCAGAAAGTACAAAATCTCTCTTCATGCCTAGCAGCATATAATTTTTTTCCCAAGAGATCCACAAATATATTCAAAATAGAAAAAAAAAAAAAAAAAAAACAAATAAAAGAGCAACATGTTCTGTACCAAAAAAAAAATATAAAATAAAAAAAGAGCAACATGTTGAAATTTGAGAAGTGGGTATAGTCAAAGCCACAAGGCTCCAGCATCTTTTAGGATAGGAACCAATTCACCCGAGATATGGGTGGCCATGACTCTTTCCAACCCTCCAAACCACTTCCCACCAACGAACACCGCCGGAAACTGCACCGTTCCGCCGCCATCTCCGCCGAAGCTGACAATCTTCCTGGACAGCTCGGAGGTTACGACAGCCTCATCGCCCTCGTCAACCTCGTACACAGGAGGGTTGACTCCTAGCCCCTGTAACAACCTCTGCACCACGTGGCACATGCAGCAGCCACGCCTCCCAATTACCATCACTGCATTCTCCGAAACCATTCTGATCACGTTAGCTGGGTCCACGCCATTGGGCTCACCGCTTCCACCGGCGACGGCGGCGCCACCGGGCACGGTGGTGGTGGCATAAGGAATAGTTTGGTGCATGGTGGTATTGGTGAATGATGAGAGAGAGAGAGAGAGAGGAGAGGGTGGCTCTTGAGAGTGGAATTGGGAGCTGTGTGTAAAAAATAAAATAAAATGCGAAGACTCTAACGTCAACGGCTGTTACGCAATCTCGTACGTCACGGAACTTGTAGTGACGTGATTCGCGTTACGGGCGATTAACACATTCAAAGAAGCTGCATTCCACGTATGATGACTCTCGTGGGAGCTTTTATTCGTTTGAATGGAGATAATAACCCGCGTGTGTGCTTTAAATTTTATTTTATTTTATTTTTTTTTTGGTAAACAAATTTTATTTTTTTTTAATTGGTGTGGTTTCTTTATTTTAATTTTTAAAAAATTAGATTTGAACTGATTTCATGTAAAAATTAGATTTTTTATATTAAATTTTTCTTTACAATTTAAATAATTGTTGTTCATGTTATAATATTATAAATAACAAAGTTTTTAAATATTTTGAATTATAAAAAATATATAATTCATATGTAACTAAATCACTCTTTAAATGAATAAAATTTTGTTACTTTACCAATATACTTTTTATATGTAACTAAATCATTCATTTCTTTATCTTTATCTTTATTATAAATACTAAAGAATAAAGAAATAGTTAATATTGCATAATTAAATTAAAAATAATTTTGATAGTTCCATGTAATAAAGTATGTCATTATTTTCCCTAATTAGTTATAAATTGATAAATTTTAATTGCTCTTATGGAAGGAATAAAATATATTTTATTATGTTTAATAATTATTTTGTTAATTTGTTTTTACCAATTTAAGGTTATAACTTAAATAATAAAAAAGGTATGATGATAAATCGGTATTAACTCTCTATTTTTTAGTATATATCTAGACAACTTCTGTTAGACATAATTTTAAAGGAAAAATAATAAAATAATGTACCTGCATAAATTCCTTTTAAATATTATCCTTTTATAATACTTTCTTTTTAGAATATTTAAATTTTAATTTTGTTAAGTTATAAAGACAGTGAAAATGTTCTTAATTAATAGGAAACAATAAACATACTGTGAAATAACTAATATACTAATAAATTTATTCTACTATGAAAAATAATTTATAACTAATTAGGAAAAATAATCACATTATACTCTGCAACATAAACAAATTAAAAAGTCTTACTAATTTTAAAATCCATTACTATTTCTTTTTTAGTATATGTATATATATATATATATATATATATATATATATATATATATATATATATACTTTTGTAATACATAATTTTTAAGATCGTTTAAGGAAAAACAAGAAATAATGTACCTCAATAAATACCTTTTGAATACTATCCTTTTTTGTAATACCTAATTTAAAGAAATTTAATTTTTTAACTTATAAATATAGTGAAAAATAGTTTGAATTAATAGAAATATTTTAATATTAAACTTATCTATTAAACGAAACACAAGAAATAATGTACCTCAAATACCTTTTGAATACTATCCTTTTTTGTAATACCTAATTTATAGAATATTTTAAATTTAATTTTTTAATTTATAAATATAGTGAAAAATAGTTTAAATTAATAGAAATATTTTAATATTAAACTTATCTATTTTTTAGAAATACAATGAAAACTAAAGAAACATAAAAAAAAAGTCCTATACTGGACACAATCTTGGGAGACTAACTCCCCTAAAGTCATTAAACTTATCTTTTAAACAACTAACATAGTAATAAATTTATAGTATTAATGTATAAAAAAAAATTAGTATTAAAATTTAATTATACTAATAAAAATAAATGTAGATGTTTATATAACATGTCTTATTTATATATAAGACATGTGTTGTAGTTCTGTACAACCCCACCCGAATACGTATATTATTATAATAAAGTGTGGATTTTAAAGTTATATAAATTGGTTTGGTTGAAGGTTGTTTTTCAAATTTATCACTTGATTTCATTAGTATATTATTTAGATAATATATTAATTTCTGTTACATATTTAAATTGATTTGGCATTTTTTTATAATTTTTATTTGAGTAAATATTAATTAAATATGTTGTCAGGTTCGCTTGTTATATAGATCTTATTGTTTACTTATTGAGTTGCATTAGAACTAACCCCATCTTAATTATATTTTTGTAGGTATATATAATTATAGAATTAGCTTCTAATTCTACCCTTTCGATTTGATCTTGGGAGTTTGTTTACTTATCGACGGTGAACCTGACACATTGTTTTGTGTGGGCAAGGTTCATATTTTACTTTATTTTCTAGAATACTTATAGGTTTATTTTTTACAGTTGCTTCCTTATTTCTACAAGCAGGTTAATTATAAAATATTAATAAATATAAAACATTTTTCGTTGGAAATTAGGCTTGTCAGGCTAATTAACGACAATATTAAGTGTAATTGTGTGCCATCATTGTTGGGATTACGACAAGTATACAGATCGTTTCAAGTAATAAAGTAGTGAATAAGAATATCGTCCACGAGAATTAATGTGCCACGTATTATTATAATTATTCCCTTTAATTGGATAATTTGATTTGGTTGTTGAGAATAATTTTTGAATTAAAATAAAACAAAAATTAATTGCAATAAAAATCAAGAATATTCAAGAACGCAATAATTGAGAATTAAATTTAGAATATCAAAAACAACAGCTGCAGTTAGCAATTATTTCACATCAGATCCTCCTAGAGTAATTTAAATTAATTTCAATATTAAATTATCTCAGATATTTCAGACAATTTATCTTCTAAAAATTAGTTGGTTAAATCCTAATGTCTTAGTGACTTTAACCCTTTACTCTAATTAGAATCCTAATATCTTAGTAATTCCTCTTAGAATAAGCATTAGGCACAATGAATTATAAAGTCTACAACTCAAGCAAGCTTATGTCTAGATTATGCAATAATTGGTATTTTACTCCTGTCACGATTAAAACTCTAATATGTCTATTGCGAGCCATAACCCTCAAATTCCTATAAGAGTGATCAATTCATACAAGGATATAGAAATTAATGCAAGGTAAAACACAAATACTGAAATAATTTATTAAAAAACTAAATTAAACCATAAATAGGATTCACATCGGATCCATAATCCTATCTACATAAATCAACTTAGCCTAACATGTTCATAAATTCAGAATAAAAAGATGATGAAAAATAAAGAGAGTTCATGATAAAACTTAGTTGATGATTAGTTATGAAACTTCAATCTCCTTCTCCTCCTCTGGAATCCCTCTTCAGAATTTCTCCTCCGCTTCTGCCTTCGTCTCCGAGTTTGCCTTTCTTCCGTCTTCTGAATGTGTATTATGAATGCTTCATCGCGTCTATTTAAAGACTTAAAATTGGGCTTTTATGTTATCAAAAAAAAAAAAATTGGGCTTTTAGTTTTGGGCTAGCTCGCTACAGCGAGCTGCTCAGCAAGCAATTTTCCTTTTCTCGCTGCCGTGCTCGCTGAAGCGAGCTATAGAGCGAGCTTCTCACTCACTTTCTTGTTGAAGCGAGCAGCAAAGCGAGGAAGAATTAATTTTTATGAATTCTTTATTTTCTTGATTTTTGATTTATCTTCAATCGGTGTCAACTTCCTTGTCATCAGATCAGATCATATCAGTGGTTTGTTTTTCTAGTGTGAAACAACCTCAAACAACAATAAAGATTAGAATCTTATCTATTTGTTGGCATTTTAAGATTTTATTAATTAACACCATATTTTTAATCATATTAATTATTATTTGAATTATATTTGACATTAAAAACATAGTGTTTTTAACATTTATTAAACATTCCCAGATTTACTCATTGTTGTCCTCAGTAATGAATTAAATTAAGAATATGGGATATATGAAAAAGTTCAAAAATTATGCTTAATGTGATACTCAGACAGTACATCAATCCAATAATGATCAGACTTAGTAGAAAATAAAAGAGTTCAAGAATAAACATATAACTAAGCAGTATCAAAAGCAAACAAGTTATAAAATTAAAGCATGAGATCTATTAATCGAGCACACAACTGAATTTTAACACACTAGAAATATTAAATCACTCGTCACTCATCTGTCTAAGGGTAAGTGTTTCACTCAACCTTTCACTGTATCAATACTTCCATAAGCTTGGTCATATTCTCACTCTCTACGGTTAATTAACATGCATAAAAGATCAAGAGGTCTTTATTCGGGTTGTAATGGGGCTTGGCTAAAGGAAGAATAAATAAGAGAGAGCTAGTTAAAGCATTGGAACATAGAGAGATCATAGTAAAGTGTAAACAATTAACAGATAATCTTTTTTCTCCTTTTTTCCTCTTTTTTCTTTTTCAGCACTTTTATTATTTTATTTTATTTTTCTTTGCTTTTTCTTTTTCAACCCACAATACTTTTCTTTTTCATTTTCCTTTTTCAACGCTTTTATTTGCATATAAGCAATGACTATTTTTATTTTTCACCATTTTTCCAACCTTTACTTTTGCTCAACTCTCCTAACCTCCTTTTTCACCACTTAGAATTACATGATGAAGTAATCATGTTTACACACTACAATAATTTTTTTACAATCCACTCCTATTTAAGGTAGATGTGTATGTGGAGTGGCTAATTAAAATAACAGGTATTAAGAAAAGAAAAGGCCTCGGCTCAAAGGGCTAAACAAAGGATATCACAATGGTTGGCTTTTTGGCTAAGTAGCTAAAACAATAAAAAAGTCTCAATCATTTCAAACATGCATGTAAACAACTACTTCTAGGAGAAAAAAGCAATTTCTAGAAGTATTTTCAACTGTGAAGTGCACATCGAAAATAATTTTTTGTTTGGGCTCAAAACCTCACGCTATAGGTATGCAATTCAGTAAATTATGCTCTTTCTCAATCACTCATACTGAAATTTTATTATTCCTGCTGACTCTTAGACTAACTCAATCAATGCTTATTCATAAAAGATAAGATATATCCTAAGTCATCACATCATAGATAAATTTTACTGACTAATTCTCCATTGGCA